ACCCCACAAAGCCACACCTATTTTTCTTCATCATTACTCTTCCTAAAAAGCAAATAACAAAAAAAATATAACATTTTTTAAGTAAAAAAAAAAAAAAGCTGAATATTATACATACTGGTGTGTTGTCATGTGTGCGTAGATATGATGTGGATTGTTTAAAGTGTATAAATGTTGGCTACTGGGTCCTCATTTGGGACCAAGCTTTAGTATTCAGACTTTATAGAATCAAGAACCAACAACAATCGTCTCGTTACAAGCCTTACTTACTTACCTATTTATCCATTAAAAGTTCCAAGAATTTGACCAAATGATTATTATAATTGTGAGAGTTTTTGTATCTGCAATTATCTAAGTGTGTAAAGGAGTTTTGAAACCTGGTCATGTTTAAGAGCAGACGAGTGTGCAGAGGTCTTGTGTCCTGGCTTGTGAGATATTGGTGTAAGGAAATATCCGGAACTTTCCATTGGCCATGCAGGTCAGTGTTAACTGAGCATCACTCACCATTGCCTGTCAGAATTTCACAATGTTGTATCACTAATCGAACTACGATTTGCGTATTTAAAAGACTCGAATTCTAGAAATAGGGTCACAAGGTTTACATGATATACCTCGCAAGAACTAGACATGTCGCTGCAGCTCCATTTTCTAGTTGGAACACAGTCAATATAGCGACACCAATTGCAATGACGGTTTAGATTGATGCCCCAGCAAGCTGCTATTAGAACCCCGGCAAGTCTAAGCAAAACAAAAAACCAAAGATGGATTGAGCGTTTTTCGTGTTAAGCTTGATCAAAGAGAGATTAAGGGAGATTTCTCACATTCCACAGAACAAGACCAGGCATATAATCCTTAGTACCGGTCTGTCAAACTGTTCTTTAAGCCTTGTGGATGTTTTCATATCATCTTCAAACAATTTTCCCTTGTGTGTTGGAGGAACCTGTCTGAGCTGTGGTGTGAATAGAAGCACAAATCCAAGAAGGAATCCTGATATGAAACCACCAATGTTTGCAAAATTGTCTATGTAAGGGAGAAAGCCTATCAGGAAATTGACAGTGGAGATAGTGATTATTATCACTAAGGCTGAAATCTGTAGCAATCAAACACAACAAAAGAACAGCAATCAGTAAAAGTATGAGAAGAGAAGAAGATAACTAGGAGCAATAAACACAAGAAATCCTTGACCTTGCAGCTATATAGATTCCAGTTCCTTACAAGTGCAGAAAGCATAGCTCCAATCAACCCAAAGAAAGCAGCACCAGAACAGATTGATGGGATGTTTCGAACAAACAACACAGCAAACAGACTACCCACAATGCCAGAGAGGAAGTATATTACTGCAATCCTCACTACAAGAACCGAAGAAAAAGGCTGATTATAAAGGTGATAGATTCAATCCAAAAACAGAATAAGTAAAGTAACCAAAAGTCAAGCACAAGCAGTCTGATTTACATGGTCCAAATTGCTGCTCCATGTATATCCCAACGAAAACCAAACTCCCAAGATTTATGAAAAGATGAAACAATCCGCTGTGCAGCCACGGAGATGTCAATATACGCCAAATCTCGTGTTTCTCTACCAGAGCATTCCAGTAAAGACCTCCCATGTGTTCGAAGCTGCAAACCCCACAGTAAACCAACAAGTTCAGAGCTAGTATTCAGTCGTTGTTTCGAAGCAACAAACCGACCTTTTTCCTTTCTTAACCTATAGCTCTAAGAAGAAACATCACTTGTGCTTGTAACCTAACTACGATTCCTGAAGCACCAAGATCCACTCATCCACACAAATTAAGCACACTAAAACACAAAATTGGATATCAACGATAGAGACTCAATGAATCAGCTCAAAGCTCATTATTCAAACCACCAACATACTCTCCAGTAACCAATCATCACTGATACGAATCATACGCAATCGCAAAATGAAACGGAAGCGGAAATTTCCTCCAGAATCAATCTCGTAACGATCTTCCTCAATTCAATTGAATATTGATTCCAGAAACGAATACTAACAGAGACCGAAAAAAACGAAATCGGAATCCGTCGAGAGAGATAGAGGAGCTACTCACGTCGAAGCGGAGGGACCGAGCATAGGATTCTCGGAGAGAGGTTGGAAAGAGAATCGGCCGAGGAGATTACCGGCGCAATGACCGTGAGAGTTTCTGGAGCAGTCGTTAACGCCCATAGTTACAGCGAAGATGACGATCTGAAGAAGCACGAAGACCGAGACGAGCCAAGTGTCGCGGGTGATTTGCCGTGAACGGTGACGGAAGAAGGGGAATTTGTCCCAGTTTTGATCGCCGGCGATTGAATTGGAAAAAGAAAGATCGTGAGAGGTTTCATCGATCTTCGTGTTTGGCTCTGTAGAAACTTCCATTGGAGAAAAGGGGAGCGAGAAATTAGGGATCGAGAAGAAGAAGACGAATTGGGTTGTTTTATACAGTGGCGGGAAAAATTGCTTTTGAGAGTAAACCGAAACGCAAACCGTTTTATGATCCGGTTTGTATATGGTTGATAAAATAAAAATTTAATGGTTCGCCGTCTAAGGGGATCGAAC